GAGAGAGAGAGAGAGATGAAAAAGGACTAGGATATAGAGAAACTGTTGCATGGATTAGGATTTGCAGGTGACATTTTGAAACTAGGTTAAGGATTGGGTTTGAAGCAGGAATATGGCATTTTCTTTTTTGAATTTGTCGTTTCTGTATTAGTTTGACTTTTTACTGTAGTGAGCCTTGTATGGAATATTGAAACAGGATATAAAACCTGAAATTAATGCCGTATTGAATCCAAGAGCTGCAGGCCCCGACGGATCACTACTCGGAGTACCTGGTATTTCATTCAATTACTTGCTACTCAAAACCATTTGTTCTTTTATTTTTTTCTTAAAGAAATAACATGATCGATTTTTGTATTTTCGTTTATTTCTCTCGTTGTTTTCAGCGATTGAATTTCGAAGTTGTATGTTATGGAAATGACTTCTGACTTTTTGACAAGAGTAGTTGGTTTCTCTTCCCTTAAAAATGGATTAACTATGGCAACAAAAAAAGTTTGGGACATTTGATTCCTTAAATTTAACTTTGTTATGGAGTTAAATCAATAATGACCTAATGTGAATCCTGCTTTTTGTGCAGGACCTAGTCAAGGTGGAAACAATTTGCCTTTGAAAGGATGGCCTCTTACAGTAAGATGCTTATATTTTGTTATCAGTTGTCTCTTTATTTGCACATTAACCAGGGGAAAACCAAAAAAAAAAAAAGAAAAAAAGAAAGAAAAAGAAAAAAAAAAAGAGAAAAGAAAGGAAAAGAAAAGAAAAGAAACCATCCTAAGTTCCAGCCTACCAATTTTAAATTATTTCTTTGGTTTGTAATATGGATTAATATGCTTATGCAGGATACCAAGCTTGGTCTTGTCCTAAAACAATCAGACGTGGTATTGAATTTAAATTACTTTTGCTCCTATGTTGGATTTTGATACTTATAGATAGATGGAGTTAAAGTCATGGCAATAAATGCTCAACGCTTACTTTCTTTTGCTTATTAAATAACTAAGAATAATGATTGGACTAGACATTCACTGTTTGATACTGACAATGCTGTTTACACGAGAGCTCAATTTAAAAAAAAATGTTGTTTACATGAGAGCGTGCTTACCTATCTTGGCATATAATAAGGAAAAGAGTATTCCATAAAGGGCAGGAATCATGGAGCTTAACTTCATTTGATCCTTTCAGATAATATTATGCGGAATGATAAAGTAATTATGAGCTAGATGGTAATATACCCTTGACCTGTGTGTTATAATTAATAATACAGTCACCTTTTATCATAATAATAAACTGGTACTATATGCAAAAGACAATTGGTGAGCATCATATGCAAACCCCTTACACTGTTTTCACTGTACATCTCTCCCACAATTTGGGGCCTGTCCTCAAGTTCTAAGCTATCAACTCTTCTATTCCATGAGTGAGAGAATGCGGGAGGCCACACTTTAAACAATTGAAAAAATCTCTCTCTATTTATATATTTGTATTTTAACACTTGCTAAGTGGGCCAAGTCAATAAGGATCAACTTGGGCAGACCTAGTTTTCACTGATTTGGGTATTTTCAGTCATCCTTTTTTTTTTTTTTCTTCCCAAAAAACAGGGCCTTGATCAACTCCGACCAGGTCTTCTACAGCAACAGAAATCATTTATGCAGTCTTCCCAACAATTCCACCAACTTCAAATGCTGAGCCCACAACAGCAACAGCAAATTCTATTTCAAACTCAGGCCTCACAAAATTTGAATTCTACATCAGCAGTCGATGACACTAGAAGGTTGAGGATGCTTTTGAGCAATAGGAGTATTGTTCTTGGAAAGGATGGCCAACCCAATTCAGTTGGTGATGTAGTTCAGAGTGTGGGGTCACCAATGCAAGCTGCATCTCCTGTTTTGCCCAGAGGAGACCCTGATATGTTAATCAAGGTGCTCTTCCTCAAAATTTTCACCTGAAAAATTTGCTTTTTCTCTTGTGTACGTTTCATTGTTTTGTTTATCTATTAATATCTTGAAGTGTCTTATTTAGTTTGAGGTATCTTTATGTGTGCATTTTCTTTCATGCATATTTTTTACTGTTTTTGGTTTCATGCATATTTTTTACTGTTTTTGGTTTCAGTATTTTTGCTCTTGAGGTTCTTATCCTTTTCTTGTCACAGATAACACACTGAAGTGTCTCTGTGTCTTTCTCTTGTTCTTGTTTGTGTATTTTCCTTCTTTTATCATCTCTGCCTGGGATTGTCAGCTTCTGATTGGACTGTTAGGTATAATGTTTTTTAATAGTCACTGAATTTGACAGTAATTGAGTATTATTTGGAATATTTGGTCCTTTATAGAGTAAAATGGATGACTGACAAGAGCTAAAATGGATACAAAAGTATTCAGTATAGCTCTTCAGGGTACAAGTATTTTAATGTATCGTGGCCATGGAAAATATCCAGATCGCATGGTCAGCTCATGGGCTCTAAGGCCATGGAAAATATCCAGATCGCATGGTCAGCTCATGGGCATAATGGCTCTAAGAATTAAACATTATGCACAAGATTGATCACATTATTATGGCTTGGCAAATTAGTCACTTCCTACATTCTTAATTTGTTGATTTTGACAAAGAAATTTCAAATTTTTATGGGCTGATACTTAATTGTGGGTTTATCTGATGTGCTTTCAACCCTGGGGAGGCTATTGACAAAGCTGAATTACTGACTGGGAGGGAGTCACTTTGGGCTCTCTCCATACTGGGGACACAGTTTTATCTCCAAGAAGTTAACCGGTAATAGTCCTTTTATGTTGAAAGCACCTATGTAACATACTAAAGTTCAACGTTTACTATTTCTTAATTATAATTTTTTCCTAAATTCTGCAAAAATAACATTATGATTAGGGATTTGCAAATGTGTTTGAATCATAGTTAGGGGAACCTTGTGGTTAGGGTGACGATCCTGCTCCGGAACCTCGATCCCACGGTTCCTGCAAGGTATCTTGTAGGGACCTTGTTTTTCGATTTGGGATCTCGCTCCCAAAAAAAGAGGACCACGTTCCATCCATCAGCGGAATCTAGTTCCATTTCAAAATAGATCCCCGCTCCCATCAACCGTGGTCCAAGTTTTTGGTACATCTACATTAAAATCTTTGGTTCCATGTTTGTGGGATCTACTTTCATTAACGGATGATACCAGGTTAGAGATTTCCATTGTCCCAAGTTCCCGTTATTAAGGAATCATAAGTTCCATGATGGTAAATTCCAGTCCCCTTTTCACATAACACGAAGTTTCATTATTTTAGATTCTTAATTTAAACTAGGCATAGTCTAGAGTGACCCATTGTTTTATTAAGCCCTATTCTGTAAGCCATCACTCTTACTTGTGAGAATATATATTTCATTTTAAATCTTATATTTATGATGTCCTATTGTTTTAGAATCTTAAATCACAATGATGAATCCTCTTAGTTGTGAGATGAGAATGTATGCTTTCATTTCAAGCTTTAAAAGGCTTCTTTTACATTTGAGAGAAAGGGAGAGTTTGTCTTGTCCTCTTGCCCCTTCAGAGAGCCACCCTTTGAGAAACAATGGAAGCAGAGGAGGCTGCATTCGATGAAGATGAACCTTGAGTGGTAGGATTTTGGGTTGCTGGGGATTCCGAGGGAATGATGCATGTTGAACTTGTGTCATGACTTGAAGATGTAGTGGGAGCGATAGACCTTGGTAATGGAGCACTCTGATGAGCCTCATCATCAACATTAAGGCGGTTGCCTGATGCTTCTAATGCCCCCAACATCATCCTCGAGGTTGTCATCCTCAGGATAAAAATCCAATCCTTTGTAGTCCTTTGCATAGTTTGAGCGTAGTCTACTTAACAAGTTGTTATTATAGTGAACATAAACTAATGACTCGGAGCGTTGAGCATTTAACCTGCTCCACTACGAATCAACTGACATTGTTCCTTTGTTGGAAATGGATGCCAAGAGTAAAAAGAATCCTTTATTGCTTACAAAATCACTGATGTGCTGTCTATTATGCCCCCCTCATTCTCGTTTGGGTACAATCTCTCAAGTGCAGCAAGATAAGACGCTGATATTTCTTTATCGTGGTGCGGCTTTAGCCTCTTCTCCCTGCCATGAGTTGGCATAGTTAACCATTCTCGAGAGTGATACTTAAGACTTAAAACATATGCCAATCTTGATATTAGAACAAGAGGAACCCCGTTATATGACATACTTAAACCTTGATTCCTTAACCAAGGGAACTCATACTAGCTCTACTGACAACCTCATTTTTATGTATAGTGGAGCTTAGATTCCTGCTAGTCAAAACATCGAACGCATTGACATGGGATCTCGCTCCCATAAACCTAAGGATCTCGTTCCTTGTCTTGATCATTGTACGGACGCCGATCCTAACCCCAGGGAGCTTCCACTATAGGGCTGTTCGGTGAATCCCAAGCCGATCCCGCTCCTGTCTCCAACAACTATGGTTTTAATGATCTTCAAAATTTATGTCTGAGATATCAAGTGACATTTTAAAAAAAAAAAAAGTCTGAGATATCATGTTGTTTTCAGGAAGTATATAATACTCCGTTGAATGATAGATGCCATAGTCTACTGTGATCTATTCAATGAAATGAGGGATGGTGATGAAAAAGGAGAATGGGGCCCAGCAAAATGAATCATGACCTCATGGCAGTTCCAGCTCTCTCTTTATCCCCATCCATCATTTCATTCAGATGGAAATGGCCCCACTGCCCTAAAGGTTCTCCACAGTCCATTAGATAATAGTACACTTTCCTATTTATATTCATAGTGCTACTTTAGAGTTCCTCCCATTGCCCCATCCATCACGATCTTAGCTATTTGTATATGTGTTAAATTCTAGATGAAGATAGCCCAATTACAGCAGCAACAGCAACAACAACAACAGCAGCAAAATAGCAATCAGCAACAACAACTCCAACAACAAGCCCTCTCAAGTCAGCAGTCACAGAGTAGTAATCATCACCTCCACCAACAAGACAAATCAGGAGCCGGTGGTGTTAGCATGGATGGAAGCATGTCCAACTCTTTCAGGGGAAATGATCAGGTCTAATAGTTATTTTGATATATAAGTGAAGATATGAGAACTGTGTACTATTTCCCTATGGATTATGGAAAAACCATGGTCCATTGGGATCAGCACCATCCGAGAAAATGGGCTGTAATGAATAGAGGGTGGGATCCACCATAATAGGCCGTGAACTCAATGTTGGGTCTTTTTTTTTTTGGGGGGTGGGGGGGAACATGTTAATGGGGGTACAAATGGAGCCCTTGATGTCATGTTGGTATGGCTTCGCCATACTGACCACCTGGCCAAGGGCCCTTCCTATCTGATTGTTGGATCCCACACTGTCACTTCGTTGATGATGAAGACTCCAATGGACTGTTTTTCAATTGCCCTTTGGCTCATCTCTTTTGTCGTATGTTGTGGAATTTTATCTTTTAATTTGGTTACTGTGCATTGGTATATGCATTTTTGGGTTCTTAAGGCGGGTTCGAAGAATCAAGGTGGCAGGAAAAGGAAGCAGCCTGGATCATCTTCTGGCCCTGCAAATAGCTCAGGTACTGCAAACACTACTGGGCCATCGCCAAGCTCAGCGCCTTCTACCCCATCTACTCATACACCAGGAGATGTCATGTCAATGCCTACATTACAACACAGTGCTAGCTCAAATAAACCCTTGATCTTGTTTGGCTCTGATGGAACCGGAACTCTCACTTCACCATCTAACCAGCTGGTTAGTTCTCTAGCTCCTTTTGTTTATTTGTTGTGTACATAATTTGGTTTCATGAAGTATATTTAGTCTAATGGACTATGGAATATTAGAAACCTTTGTCCATTGTTCTTTGTTTTTGTGTGTGTGTGTGTGTGTGTGTGAGAGAGAGAGAGAGAGAGAGAGAGAGAGAGAGAGAGAGAGAGAGAGAGAGAGAGA